TGGGTAACTGTAGGGTCCTGAAAGAAATAACTGCGGCGTCCGCCGTGGCTGGGCTCACAACAGCCCGAGTCGACTGCTCCGTAATTTGAAAAGTAGTCTGTCTGTTTGGTAGGATCACTGGACGCGTGCAATTGAAGATTGGCAACAACATTTCCCAGAAGCAGAGTCGTCTGCCATGCAGTTGTAGTCTCTGAGGTAGGGCAAGAAGTACCGTGAAGCAATGCTTCTCTCTGAACGTGATCATAAGCGATGGATGAGACCAGCTGTCGGAGCTCACTGGCACCCCGGTTATCGGTATGAAACCAGGAATTCGCTTCCTCGAGCCTAGCTCTGTTTGGTGCCAAGGTATCGAAGAACAAGAAATCAGTAGTCTTCTGTTGTTCCAAGGGCATGGGAAGCCCCGGTGGGGGTGCGACAGCCTTGCTGTTAGCTATAAGCAGCTTATCGTAAGGGTTCTCTTGCTTGTCCTTTGCTATATCTCCCTTATGAACAAGATGATGATTCGTCATGCGAGAAATGGGTCCACCAGTGCCCACTTCCAAAAGCGAATTGGTACCTTTGTGTGGAAGGCTGACCTGTTGGTTGACTGGGTGTGCGTCCTCCGAGCTTGCATGGCGGTCATACATGCCAACAGACTGTGTTTTCATGTGTTCTGCTTCGTGACTTCCTTGTTGTAGCCGAACAATAGCAGCCTCCTCGGACTGTACCGACAGATCCTGAGACCTGGCTCCTTTGGCATCCAGCTGAGAGTTCTCAACGACGCTCTGAAGGAAGGCAGTTGCCTCTTCTTTTATCGATCGTTTGCTGCTAGCTTTGGACGAATCGCTCTCAGCAGAGCTTGGCTTCCTGTCATGAGATGGTAAGGAAACTCGAATAGGGTTGGATGTCTGAATTTCCGCACTGCCTGGAATCTGTGCCCGAGCTGAACTAGAGATCTTCGTCAGAAGCTTTTGACGAACGACCTCCAAAAGTTCCGCATCGGCTTGAACGGGGTCGTGAGTGGTATAATTGACCTGGGCTTTGTCGGAATACACATTCTCAATCGGTAGGGCCGCCCTATGAACGTCTCTCTGGTTATAATGGTAGTCTGGAGCCTCCAGCGACCCATATCCTGACTGATCATATCCATTGTCGATGCCGCCATGCGGGAGCTCGATGTACGACTCCGGTATGTACTGGTGATCAGAGACGGGGCATTGCTCGTATGAGACAACGCGGGTGTTGTTAGGCGCCGTGCACGATTCTGCAGACCAGATAGCATGTTCGGATTGCAAGAAGTTCTGATGTTTGAAGGAAAGCCCATCTGATACGCTGCGATAATCGTGACGGAGACACTGAAGATAGGAAGGATCGTAGCCTTCGCAGTAGCTTAGGGGGTTCCGCTGAACATGACCATCAGCTTTTTCATGCCAGAGGTGCTCTTTCGCCTCATATGCGTATGTCGGATAGTATGCTTCCGAACGAATACGGGAGCGTTGCAATAGTTCAGTTTGTTGGCCCCCGTGGTGACCCGCCTCGATATAAGAGCGGTGCATCGGAGCAAGCCGAGCACGAGGCTTGCATTGCGAGACACCAACGGATTCAGTGTCAGTTGATATGTCCTTTACATCGTGAATCCGTCTACCACCAATCTGCAGGGGCTTCAGTGGCTTTGTGACCTTGCCGCGCAGGCTTGCTCTGTTCCAGAGCTCACTCAATGCAACCGGTCGAGAGGAGGCGATGTCATCGAGACTGTGCAGTTCATGCTGTATGTCCACGTTTATGCCGTCTCCAGTAGCAGCTCTGACTAGGCCCGACTTACTCTGATGACGGCGAGACAGTATTTGGCTCATCATGGTTGGTTTTCTGTGAGAGTTTCCAACTAGAAGCTGTGGAATGCACGTCGTGAGGATATGGATGTTCGGCTTGAGATGATAGAGATAGCGCTCGACAATGCTTCGTGCCCTGGGGAGAGCTATGAGAAGAGTAAGAGGCTGACTCAAACGGGAATCAAACAATCGTAATGCTTGAAGCTCAAGAATGATATGTGTAGAATGGGTATGTTTTGATGTAAGTGAAGGGTTCGATGGGAGGATCGAGAAATGTAAACTGGATGGCTGGTGCAGGCAGTTTGTGTTGCTGCAGAAAAGACAAAATAGAAGAAGTCTCAACATAGGGGCCTTCAAACTGGAACCTCAGATGGTGCCGAGACCAAGGCGTAACGTGCTTTGCTTGAGAATCTAGTCACTTTCTTGACCCGCTCACCTGAGATGCTGTGGTGGACGTGGCAAAGATTGGGATGTTTGCAGTGGAAGGTGAGATGGTTTACTCCCAGAAGGAATCACCCAAGTGTTTCCTGTTTGTTCTATTTGTTGTCATATGTTCACCTGGGGGAGCAAGTGCTCTCAGCAGTGAGCCTGGACTTGTGAAAGCCTCGACTGATGGCTCTGCAGACGCCCCAGCTCAGTATTTCAGCTAATTGATAGCAACTGTCCTTTCGTTTGAACACAACTTATTCAATTAATGCTACTTTTTGTACATGCAGAAGGCTCAGTCGCCTCTATGTCCGCTGGAAGATGTGGAGGGATGAACTAGTTTCGGATTCCTTAACAAGGCAGTGTGCCAGAAGCGGTATCTGACCAGGACCGATCGATATCGCGGACTCAAGGTCTTTCGGAAAAGCACGTTGAATGATAATCGGGTTGGTATATACAGGTCTTGCCAGGTGGATGCACCAGGGTTATCTTTTAGACTGTCATGAGCAGTCCCGGGTGCCGGATAAGTCTTCCAGTAACCAGAAACAGGCCAAGGGAAGATATCACATACCGAGCATATATAGATCGAAATTAGTCTCTACCTGCACGCCACGTTTTACGATGAAAGGTGCAAAACGTAAGACAACCAGCGTTTGTTCTTGAAGAAAATGTATGAGCTACAAAGCAGGAGGCAAACATCACATATAGGAACACTCCTACATATACTCATAGTTTCAGTTTCATCTGATAGGTACCGAAGAATTTGATTCCACGCGAATATTTAAATGAACCATTGATATCCTCCATATTACTATAATTTCAGGACCAGGCAGGGACGCTGTGACCTTCAGAGACGATCAACTTATATTGACTATAAGTATCGTTAGTTTGACGGGACGAGTCAAGGGTATGTCTAGAATATCATCAACCTTGATTCCAAGCCTTAGCTGGTGGGACCTCTGTAATCATTTGTAGCGGTTGCATAGTTTTCAGTGGTCGAATTTGACCCATGATAGCCTCGCGAACCATGATGTGTCTCTGCAGAAGGAGGAGGCTGATCGTTCCTGTCTCGCTCGTTCTCGCCAACGTCCGGCCTACTGTTGCCAGAACCAGGAAGAGCATCGTGGACACCAGACCCGAAATCGTTACCGCTTGCGCTATCATTGTAAGTACGCTTGTCTACAGACAAGTCAGACCAGGTGCCACAACGCAAGTTCTCTCAGTCATCTACTTACCACCGTCAGCGTATTGAGCGGTGTCGTTGGGGTCATTGAGACGCCCACTCATGGCATCTTTGACCTTGCGGACGATGTTGGACATGTTGACGATTTTCTGCAACTGAAATTGAATCGATCTGATGATTTCCCGCCACTTGGACGTCTAATCGAGCGATGGCTGGCTCACTATATAAGGAGCCGAACATTCTCCCGCCACCAAGCAAGCGTGACGATATACTACCAACCATTCCCATAGCTTAGAGAGGTCTTGAAGTATGGCTAGGACCACAATCGACCGTGAAAGGTGGTGGGATCAGTCTTGTGTCATCCAGCGTCATCTGATCCAGAGACGCTCCATGAAGAGTTGTGGTAGAGAATAAGAGTGATGACATAACAGTGAGCCTTACTGGTCTGTTTCCAGAGCGACTGTATCATGAGCTACCTTATCATGGCTTATTTCTTTTGACTGGGGTTATCCCTCAACACGGATCACCTGTTACTGGTGTTTATTAGTAGTACTTCGTGACACCCACTAAGAAGTCATGGTCTTGGATTCATTAATTAAAGCAGGGTACTCCGTAAAGCAAGTAGAACAAAACAAAGTCATAGGTTGAGTCGACACTTCGCTTATTTAGTCTTCAACTCTAGGTGACTTGTGAGCAGTTCGTCGATCATGCCTTTAAATTGCAAAAGACAATTAAGACTAATTTAAGGCACGACTGAGCTGTTGAAGGTGTGGGGCGGGTTGTATGGACTAGCTACGGAGTAAATGTAGGTACGGAGTAGCATGATGTGGGGATTAAAATGCATTACAAAACGTAGACAGGCAAAGGCGTGAGGGCGCCAAGTACCTCCATCATTTGATCTGAGCTTCTAGCAAAGGGGAAAGAACGATGTTGCTGATTTTGAACGGTTGCAAATTTGGTGTTCTCATTATTTTTACAACCTTCATAGTAATCATCATACTAAGTGGAAATATTAACCAAGATCTGATTCTTGTTGCTACACCCAATGTAATGCCAAGTACAATACAGTGATACCGCCGTTGAAACAGAATGTTCGTTGCCTGATGGATCGCCGCCTCAGTCCCGCATATCCCGTGACTCCGAGGCTGTGCTGTGACTGCCTGAGGCCTACGTTTTCTAGCTGCCGTTCCCGCTTATTGCGTGTTGTACTTTGTTGTTTCTCTGACGCAGTGACGATCGCTCCATGTAGTGGTGGTGGCTTCTACCCTCTTCTCCTCCTTCTCCTTGTCTTTAACAGTCCATCCTTCCTGCAGTTTCTCCCTCTCATCGAGTTCTCTGTTTCTGAGTTATCTTCTTCTGTTTCTCCTTGTCTCTATAGCGTTTCCGTCAGATCCCTGCCCTTACGTCCGCTTCGTGATTGTCCTCGATGAGCTCCGGCTCTCTCCCCCTTGATCGACCTTGTGATTGGTCATAAAACAGCAGCCTACAAGAGGACATCTGCACCTGAATCACGATTTTCGATCAATTTCAATCTCGCTGGCAGGACCATATCTTGATTTCTTGTTCCCCGAAAATCATCAACCATGCGACCGCCACGCCTAATATCAATAGTCTTCTGTATCCTCTTTTTCCCGATCTTCCTTACCCTGTTCTCGGCTCTTTCGTCATCTCCTCATGTGGCTGATCCCAGTTCGCTCGCTGGTCAAACGACTGGATTTCACGCTCTCTTCTCCTTCAATATACCATCCTCACTTTTCCCACCATCCGCTATCATCAGCCTTACCGATGACAACTCGACTTTTTTCCTGGCCAGACCTGCAGCATTTGGCCCTCTACTTTCTGATAAGGGACTGAGTGGCCCACTCTGGGTGGGCAGTGGTTTTGGGGAGAAAACTAGTGGTGGCGCGGAAGGAGAGTTAGGCTGTTCGGATATCCCAGGATGGGGGGATGGTGACAGCCGTCGCAGTCCGGATAAGTCAACGGTAGCTGCAGACAAGACCTCGTCATCTGGTATTAAGGATGGTCTTGCGGCCTCTTTAGGTCAGGGGCGAGCTGATCCCCAGCAAGAATCAGAATCCGAACATCTTGCGGCTGGCGGAGCCCCTCCACCCTCGACGAATGACGGCACCGATGACCATCTGCATCATCCTTTACCTGATTCTGATGTGGTAGACGCAGATGCGCCGGAAAATCCTGGAGAACGCCAAAATAAGCCGGCTGCTCATGCAGATATACAATCCTTGCAGGAGAGCGCCGAGATAAATGGCAAAGTTGTGTTGCTAAGCAGAGGCGGCTGTGGTTTTCTAGAAAAGGTCAAATGGGCTCAACGACGCGGAGCGATCGCTGTGATTGTTGGTGATGATACGCGAGGGGGAAGTCTCGTGACGATGTATGCTCGAGGGGACACGTCCAATGTGACTATTCCCGCCGTTTTCACGTCTTACACGACAGCACACTTGCTATCATCTCTGATGCCTCCGCAGGCCGGAGCAGATCTAAGCTTGGACGACAAAACTGGGTCTACACGCGCTGTACTCTCCAGCGGTTCGGACAAGCAGCGTGTGAGTCCAACAACAACTACATCAGTTACCCCGTCTTCCACGCCTACGCCCCAGGCTGAGGTGGATGAGCCGCTTCAGATTGCCTCAAAACCGAGAACCGGAGCTTTCCACTCTCTCCTGTCACTACTAGGTTTGGGTAGGAGCAACAATGGACGCGCTTGGCAAAATTTTGAAGACAGTCGACGGCCACCTAACAGCGGAAACATTGACTGGGTTCGGCTTGGTGATAAGAAACAATCCAAAAAAGCTGCACCCAGCAGTGCTGCTGATGATCGCAAAAATTCCGAAAGCATGTCGAGCCTTGCCGACGGCGATGGCTTCATCATTGGTGTGCAGGACTGGCGAGATCCAGACCTTGTAGCCCCTAGAAGCACCTCTCTGCCGTCGCCGAGTAGCGTGGCAGGCTCGGCTAATACCGAGTCGGGCAAAAATGCGAAGAGCTTAAAGAAGACATCTAATTCACCGAAGGGCGGTAGCATCACTCCAGGAAGCGGTGAATATCGGAGCGAATCTAGCGACAACAAAGAATTCCATTCGCGTGACGGCTCTCCAGTAAATTCTCCTGGAAACACTGCATCAGACAAGGGTTGGTTTTTCAAACGCTTCTTTGCGCCTAGACGTACAGGGGATGCCAAGTTGGATAAACCAGCAAACAACAAGATGCGCAGAAGTACCGATCAAAATGCCAAGGTTACCGAACATGCGGGCCTGTGGGTTACGTTGACACCAACAAGCATGTCTACAAGCCCTTTCTTCGATACCCTGCTTGTTCTAGTTGTCAGTCCTCTGCTCACTTTGACGGTCGTGTATGCTCTCCTATTGATTCGATCTCGCATCCGTCGGAGGCGTTGGCGGGCTCCGAAGTCCATCGTGGACCGCCTTCCGGTGAGAACCTACCACACAATCCCAACGCCTTCGTCTGCAGCAAGTTCCTCTCGATCTTCGAGTCCCGGACCAGTCTCGCCAACTTCCCCGTTGCTAGGCTCTCGGAGTCGTCCAGAGCTGGCCCCGTCACGCTCTTCCTTCTTCCGTGGCAGTACAGCTGAAGCCAAGAAGACTGCAAAAGGCGAGAAGTCTGGTTCGGCTTCCTCTGTTTGGCGCCGCAAGTACACTGGTCGGCAGGTGGAATGCGTTGTATGTCTTGAAGAATACATCGATGGACAAAGCAGAGTGATGAGCCTACCCTGCGGCCATGAGTTCCATGCGGAGTGCATGTAAGTAGCTCTCTCTGACGGTTTCGTATTTCTACAGTCTGCTAACTTAGGCGCAGAACTCCATGGCTGACGACCCGTCGGCGGACTTGCCCGATCTGTAAGGGAGACGTCGTTCGCTCCATGACTCAGAATACAACAGCAGAATCACGCGACTTGCCACAGCGAATGGCCGATGGTGATGATGGCCGTGGCTCCGAAACCCATCGAAGCTTTTCATCCGCCCCTATGCTCATTACGAACTCGAATGAAGATGAGACCTCCGACCCTGAACACCGCCGAGCCTCAGATTTGGGGGCACTAGAAGGCCATGCCTCCTCTGCGCCTCCGTCTTCCAGTTGGAGGAATCTGGCAACGCTTAGCCTTTCAGCCTTGAGTGGCGACACCATTTGGCATCAGACTCGGGCGGATAACGACCGATGAAGAGGGGGCAGCCGTATTATCTGCTTTTCTCTCTACTCCAGCGTCTTTGTTCATCATGATATTCCCTTCACTTCGAGACACTTGGGATGTACTGCATTAGCGAACATTTGGTATTGAGTAATATGCTTGGCTAGGCGTTGGGGGCGTTGTCTACTTGGAGTGCAGGCTCGGTCCATGACAACTAACACAATTGGCTAGGCGGGGTGTCTGGAAGGATTTTTATCAACCATGGTTATTAGGTATCTGTATACACAGGCTTTTGCATTATAGGCAGGTTACCTACAAGTCAAAATTATTCACCTTACCATGTATGACAAGGAAACCTACGCCCTAGTTGGTAACCACATGACGTCATCGCTGCGTCCATCCTCTTTATTTGTTTCGACGACACCCTTCAGTCCAACTGCACCACGTCCAATTGACAGTTCTTCTCCATACTGAGGCTATACTGGGACCACAACTATCAACGCACTGCGAGACTCAATAAACAATGGCGGATAAAATGAAAGACGCCCTCCATGAAGAGGCAAACAATTTCAAAGCCGTTGCGCACGACGTCGCCGTGTCAGGCGCGTATCTCTACCCAGTGAAAGTGAGCTCAGAAGCCCGACAGCGCTCTGAATAACTGTTCGATTGACATATGATGCAGGGCATTCTCTTCTTCTCCTACCACAAAGACCTCTGGCGCCCCTTCATCTCTCGCGCCGTCGAGACCATCAGTCTCGGCCTCGGCGTCACAACCGCAATGTTCTTCTTCACCTACGTCCCGCAAGCAGCCATCATGGCCTTCACCAGTGGCCCGCTGGCCCCGATCTCCGCCGCCCTGCTCGTCCTCAGCGAAAGCTCGACCATAACCAGTTTTCTCGCGCGCTCGTTTGTCCTTGCAGACGCGCTGACGGATACCTTTGATGGCACTCTCGTTGCACGCGGACACACGGAGCTTGTTGCACGCGGGCGGCAGATCAATGCCTCTGGCGGTGGAGCGGTGTCGAGACTGGGGAGGATGCTGAACCGGCCGCTGGAGCGGGTTAGGCCATCGGCGCTGGTGAGGTCGCTGATGCTCCTGCCGTTGAATTTCATTCCGGTTGTGGGGACCCTGTTGTATGTGTATATGCAGGGGAAGAAGACTGGACCGGTGGCGCATTTGAGGTATTTTGAGTTGAAGGGGTGGGATGAGCGGAAGAGAGAGGAGTGGGTTAGGAAGAATCAGGGAGGGTATACCGGGTATGATTCACCGTTGGTTTTGTGCTGTGCTTAAGGGATTGCTAACCGAGAGCAGACTTGGAATGGCTGCGTTTCTGTTCGAGATGATTCCGTTTGCCTCGTTGATGTTCTCGTTTACGAATACGGTGGGTGCGGCGCTGTGGGCTGCGGATATGGAGAAGGCCATGCAGTAGGAATCCGTCTAAGACGGACTTGGGGCTTTGTTGGTACATTACGAATCTTATCTATTGAATTCAGGATACAGATGGCCCTCAATCATTTATGCAAGCTTGTACCATTCAGTTACCCACTTCTGCGCCATGCACAAGATTAGATTCCCACCCAGGATGATAGCAGCTGTGAGCACCGACGTAAGGTTATGCAGCTTTGGGGCACAGATACTCCTCAGAAGTCGACGTGAATCTTATGAGAGTTGAGAAAATATGGCTTTTATTTCATGTTGATGATGTAGGAGATGCAAAACATGGCGTTCAATCAAATTGCTTGAGGTTGGCATGACATACATGTGCAGAATGTATTGTTAAAGGAGAGGACAGAGCGTGCGAGACAATATATATTAATTGGACAGCAAGCTCTCACTCTTTTAGAGCTTGCTGGCCTCTCAGATATATCCATACCAGCATGTATAAATATATATTTTTCTAGTGAACCTAAACGTCTTAAATCATGGTGAACCCGGAAGAGATACCCTTTTGGTCATTGTTCGAACAACGCATCCGAAACCCCAGAGTCGCTAATGCCTGTGCATGTACGGGACGTCTCCCTAAAGATGAAGTTTTGGACATTAATGGCATTGACCAAGAATTTCGGGGCCGATCTATCTATATCTTAATCCTGCTTTTATAGGGTAGTCTGACGTTCCGGTGCAGTATGACTACCAAGGACAACATGCATCGCTGTGAAGACACTTGCCAACATGTTCATCTCTCCCCACGATTGCTTTCCCGATACCATAGGGTCGCCAGCATGACCTTGACCACTGACTGCTTCTTCCTAATCACTGGCACAAAAGGCAAAAATGTGGACATTCTGGCCTTTTAGTCGCTTCTGCATTTGATTTGTCATCATAAGCGACGAGCTTTGCTCAAGCGGTATTCATTCCAACGCTAGAGTACTGTGCCCACTCTGCAGATTGGATGCAGGCTTAGAGAGCTCAGTGCGCTTGATGTCTGAATGAGAAGTTGACGGTGGAATTGAAGCAGAAGGGGAATGCATTCCTCTGAAGCAAATCTGTGGAGTTATCTGATGAAACTCGAGTCTTACCTGAAATGAGGACCCCTAAGGATTGTTGGTAAGCACGGAGATAAGCGGTTTTTCGTATGCGGTTTTAGTTCGGAGTCCGAGCTTCACGAACGCCGTGCAAGCTGGTTAGATCTTGAGGATGCAGACACGAGAACGACTGGGCGAGAGAGATGGCAGTGGGGATGTAGGAAGAACATGACGACGACAGACCGTTGCCTAGAAATGCCCTATATAAGTATGGAACTATCCTTCCGTGTTCTAAATGCTGAAGCACGCATCAACAGCACGCTGACGCCCAACCATACCTTAACCATCATCACCACAACCATAAACCAAATGCAGACCGTCCTGATCGTTGGAGCCACAGGCAACATTGGAGCCTCGGCCATCCACGCCGCTCTGCGCTCCAAACTCCACGTCCTTGCCATCGTGCGCAACCAGGCTTCGGCAGAGAAGCTGTTCCGCAATGTAGGAACTCGCGAGGGCATCACGACGGTAGAGGCGGACATCATGTCTGATCAGGGAGTGAAGGATGTGGTGGAGAAAGTACGGAAGGGGGAGTTGCCGGCATTTCAGCATGTTTACGCTGCGGGTAAGTCCATTACTTCATCAGAGTGTGAATATGATAAGTGTTTTGGTTGACAGAAGCGTGATTGTGCCATGGGCAGCGGGCGGATTGTTCGAAGCGACGTCCATACTTGATCTCACCACGGAGGAGCTAAGGAAGCATATGCAAACCAATTTTAGGCCGAACCTCTGTGAGTTTGTGGCCATGCTGTAGGAGTTCCACAGATATGAAAAGAACTGATACGCGCCGACAGTGGCCTATCAAGCGACCATCCCCTATCTTCTCGAGCAGGGCGACCCTACAAGCACCTGGACGCTTTGTACAGGCGCAAGCGGAGACAATGGGGGTCGCCCAGCAGCCAGCATGACGCAGGGCGCGCTATACTCCATGGCGAACGTGGCATGCCTCGACAACGCGGATACGAATGTCCGCTTCAACGAGATCTACCTCGGCTTGTTCGTGATGGTAGATGCTGCAGCGGACCAGTTCGGGGCGATGAAAGCGTCCGAGTTTGCTGTCGCGTACGAGAAGATCTTGGCCCGGCCGGACATCAAAGGATGCCGTGTGATGGTGTGCCAGCCGGAGGATTTGACCGAGTTGAGGTTCAGGAAGAAGTTGGATGTAGTTTAGTCATAACCTACCCGTAAATCATATAGATGAATACGTTGAGGGTAATAACTTATAAGATATGGCTAAACATTTCCGCGGCCTTTCCTCTGACTTTGGACGTTAGAGCTTTAGTTCTTCGAGCGGATGATTTCGCTTTTCTACACCAGACACTCGCTCATATTTATAATTATCTTCAGATGCATTTTGCTAAAATCAACCCTTTCATTACAGGGGCCCATATCATGTTAGTTATGGCGTCTCAGGAAGCTATCAGCATCATGGCTGCCCAGCCTTGGGAGCGAGCCAAGAGCTCGAATTAGGGCTACAACAACAATTTCCTATTTAGGTACTTCTTATGCGGGTACGAAGAGATACCTCAGGACCAACGAATTCAGACGCTTATATCGGCATCCAACATGTGACGAGCATCTTCTATCATCGATCTAATTCTCCCCAGTGTGTACTGGCTTTATCTTTCTCCCGTATCCCAACTATCGTCGTTAGGATAGAGACTTTACTACGCGAAATCATTTTTCATACCCGGGTTACCAACCTGCTGATGGACATCTTCTACGCCAGCAAATGCAGTCCACGCTACCCACGCGCAGCCCGCTGGGTGGTTATTGTCTGCATCTATCTTTACTCGGAATTCGCTGACTCGACCTTGTCCGTCAGCCTCATGGTGTTTGCGCCAGAGACCCAACCAAGAATACCTGCGCAAAAGCTACAGCAGTGGCGCATGGTACTAACTGGGAGTGCAACTGGCTCGCGGCAATTTTCTGTTCTGTTCTGCTGTCGAAGAGCAGCTTTTTGTTAGGCGGATTGCCAGTTGAAACCCGGAGACCCAGCTTGTGCTTGTGGAGGAACAAAGCCATGGGATTGATATTCTTCACTTCTTTAGTAGAGGCCAAGTCCACATTATCATCCAGCCCAAGATTTCTGCCAAGTATCGTTTGTCCAGTGCCTATTGTCGAATCCTGTGCAAATACTCCCAGCATTGACTGTCGTTCATGGTTATTTAATGGGAAGCAGCTTGTCGTCTGGTTTCACCAAGATCTTTGGCCGATGAGCTTTGTATTGGCGCAAAGCCTGCCGATCAGACTTATTCATAAAGGTATAACTGTCAGGATTTCGGCGATATTGGTATCGGCAATTCACTACCTGCAGCCTGCAAAGGGCGGAAAACTGCTGAAGGAAATTGCACACTTCAGCCCAAGAGCGACCCCTAAGTCGCACGTCAATGAGGCTGAGATCTCTCAACGTGTTTTGAAAGTGGCGGAGCTCAAGGAGGCACTCGCCCGGGAGAATTGCAAACTCAAGTCGCAAGAACTGTAGGGGAGCCGATGGGTGTAGAAAATGTTGATGAGCTTGGTGGCAATCTCCAGATCCCATGCGCATCGACATATTTCAGGCTCTGGCCGTGTTCCAAGATTTGCCTTATACTGGAGTCATCCCTGCGGGTCACCTGGCTGAACCCAAGGTTAAGGGTTACGCTTTGGAGACTTTTTATACCCCTCGAGACAGGAGGAAGATTGGACGATGGGCTTTCAAGTAAGCCATCCTCAGACCTTGTTTCGCCCCCTCCAGGATAGTGAATGCTCAATCTTCCGAGCTTGGGTGGCTGCGCGAGTTGAAGAGCCTCAATTATCTGCTCGATTAGGCCACCCGCATTCATGCTGTTTCTCCCATAAGGATATTCGAGGAAACCCAGTAGAACTGAGCGTAAAGACGGGAATTTCTTGAAATGAAGCGCGAACTTTTTGCAAGAGCCAGCAAAGTCTCCAGGAGTATATGCCTTTTGGAACTTCCTCGCTTTCGCAGCATTCGATAACCAATCTTTCAACATAGCAAGCGTTGGCATTGCGGCAGAGCTCTTCAATTTTGACCTGCTGAACTTTCCAGTCCAGTTGGACCATAAAGGTCCGGAACATCAAGCGTGTGGCGCTGTAATAGAACGCCTTATTTACTTGACGAAGGATACAACATTTCCTCAAATGCTTCTTCTCAATATATGACAAGGAATAGATATTTTCAATATCGCAACAGTTTTCTGCAATCTATTATACTAAATCAGCTCTTCCCTACAGAAAGCATAGCCCCTAATCTACGAAACATACCATATCATAGATCTCCATGGGCAGGGAGGCTATCCCACTCATTTTCTGCTCTGCGGCTATGCCTTTCTTGGGTGAGGTGCGATGAGTGTGGTTATATGATCAGAGGAGGGTTAAAGAGGATAATGTCCTAGATAGAACGTATGCTTCTTGGTGATGCTTTGTCGTATCAGCATTATGTCAGAATCGTAGACTAAGTTTTCGCGGCCCAGTGTTTCGAGAACCTGAGGATAATTCTGATATTACCAGGTTTGGACCATTCAAGAAGCCCTGGAAAGTATGGTTATTGGCGGTTAGTTGAACAGATCATCCAAGGTTAAATTTAGGGCTGATGACTTACCATTCTCTCTGGTTCGAACTACATGTCCCCCACTGTAGATATCTTCACTTATCTTATATAGGCAGTGCTGCAATCTAAAGAGCACCTACTTAGTTTATGCCTCTCTTAGTGCGGCTGAATAGTCTATATATGTTGTGATTGCAGTACACTTCCTCCTTGCACTCGGAGGGAGAGCCAACCGCAAGGAATAGTTACTTTTGCAAGAATGGTAAGACCTGGTAACATGGAGCGAGCATCCTGCTCCGGGACTCGTTGCGTAACTAAGGCTGCAAAGAGGATTATGCAAGGTCTGATACAGTAAATCAGAACAGACAGTGATTGGTCACGGTCTACAGAGTGTCTTCAGAGTGATAGACGCCATTCCATGAAAACCTGCAGAGCTACTCAAATAGACGGCGTCTTGGGCTCAAGAGAATCAAAGGCAAGATGGCGAATATACACCAGCATATGTACAGCACACATGATACAGTCTATCGACAATCGCTTAGAACCACAAAATGCACATTCCCACGCCAACCTGCAGAAATGATCCTATTAGCCTTATTGCTGACCAGTTTCAGCTTGGAGCATGGCCTCTTCAGCTTCAGGAACACACGCCCAACTGCAACCAAATCTTCGAAACGGCAAGGGACGTAATTGCTCCCCAGGACACCGAGGTCTCTTGAGCCCGTTCTCATAGGTACTGCAGTCCCACCATTCAATCCATTCAGTGCGAGGAATTACGAAGCTGCGGTGACATATTGAGCAGCTTCTACCGCCGGCATTTCTGACACCCTTAGCCTGTCGAAGGAGGCGAACCATTAGTTCCGGATAGCCGATCATTTCGGAGTCGGATATCTGGTCGCAATAGACCGACTGGCTGAAAGCTAGGAGAGACACCTCACGCAGAGAGGGCACATGAGACGGCGCATCGCCCGATGATCTCAACGGCAAGTTGTTGCTTTGCCCATCCGTTATGGGAATACCTTCCATATTGAACCGTCGGACGGGGCTAATCGCCACTTTTATGGGGGCCCATGCTTCCTCAGGCGCGGGGCCTTCATAATGGCACGCTTTCAACGCTTCCTCCAGTGATCCTGCATCGCTACCATCGGGGGAGTACCACCTTGTAACTTCTACCTCATTGATCTGAAGAAGGGGGTTGGGTCGGACCATCAGATGTTTCAGGTCACCCTTCTTAATCAACCATAGCAATTCCCAAGGAAGACAACGCAGGCGATTGACCGCAAGGTTGACCTCGTGCAGCATTGTCAACTTTCTTATAGCGGGAGGAATCTCTGTCAGCTTGTTGTTCCTCAAGCTGAGAACTCTGAGTGAGTCGAGTTCGAATATTTCTCCCGAAACTGCAGCAAGCGCATTGCCAGCCAGGAACAGACAGAGAAACGGTTTCAAGGAGCTGTAGCCCTCTTCCGATATTGGAGGCTCTCTGACTGAGGGCAACTTGGTGAGATATCGAAGAGGAAGCAGCAAGCCCGACGGAAGCGCTCTCAGATTGCCATTGCTGCAAGAGTTAGCGCAACTCCACACGACTCAGACAGGGATGATCTCACCTCAAGTCGACGCTGTCCTGCCCTTTTTCGAGACAGTCATTGACAATCGTCCTGGCAAGCTGATGTTCCCTCGGCTCCTCCACCTTCCTGAAACCCCCCGGCTGTGGCACCGCCTCACGGAGCCGTAAATTCCCAGATTGTGAACTGATCGCACCCATCTGTCCCTCATCTCCCATCCCAGCCGGTGTAGAACTCTTCATATTCTTCATCAAGTCCTCCCCCCACATCAACGCATCCTCAGACGCCAAAAGCGACTCCGCAGTCGACTCATCACTCCCCATCCACACACCACTATCCACTAGCCGCTTGTCCTTGAAATCTGCCCTCTTCCGCTTCGGATCGACTGCCATCTCTCCCCACCAGGTCCCCCGGTAGCGTCGTTTCCTGCCCGCTGCAGCTCCAGAGGAGACGGGGGCGTTGTAGTTTTCGAGGCCAGACGCAGGGATATCATCGCTGGAGAAAAGCGCAGGATCACTGGACGGCTGGCTGGAGCGGTCATCAAAGCGCGAGAGTCGGTATGTCTTTTTGAACGAGGAGTTGGATGGAGGTTTCGCAGCGGAGGAACTGGCATTGGCGGGGGAGCGGTGCCGGATTCGTCGCGGCGGGGGAAGAGGGACTTCGCTATCCATGCTGGGCGCAACTTGTCTTTCCAGTATATTTCAAGAATTGGTTATTAGTGAAAAGCAATGAGATGAAATCTTTTGTTCTCTGCGACTAGGCCGCTTGTTTTGGACTGTGGCGCGTCACCTCCGCAGTGGGGAAGCGAATCTGCGACGGACGTCAACAGACCTTAGCGAGCAGGCGCAATCGAGACCACGAGGGAGAATCTCAGGTCAGGCATGCCGAAGCCATGACGTCTGAAAGAATGTGGAATCAGATAATCTGTCCGACAAATGACGGTCAAGTGGTCAGTCGACTGTTTACCCGAAACGGCGCACGCGTCGGCTTCCATCTCTACGCGCTCTGCCAATCAGGCCGGATGTTCCTCACTGAAGAACTCCACTTGGTGATCAGACGGGAGCATTAAGCATTGAGCATTGAGCATGCTCATTTTGATCGGCGAACTATACTATCTAAAGCTCAACATGGGAAATTGATCTTATCGATCTGATGCACTGGTAATTTATAACCTGTGTGTCCCCGTTCTAGTGGTGTAACATGAGATTAGCAGAAATGCAATCAGACGAAACGAAGCTGACGCTTTATCTATTGAAGAAAAAATGCATCTCGATCAGCAGCTTTAAATTGCTATTTAGTTGGCTATGTACTACGCTATATGCAAACATAATAGTATCCTCCAAGCTCAACAAACCACCTCGCAGGTCGAATGAAACCGAAACTCCGCGATCATAACCGGATGACCGGTAGACATCATGGAGGTAAAAGGGGAATAATCACCGTCAACTCGTAGAAGAAGTCGTAAAAAAGGGGTATATGAATCCAAAGCGCCTCGACCACCTGCCTCATTCTTCAAATCGTAAAATCTCAGACGAGGGGGAAGAAGAAGTTGTAAAGAAGAAAAGAAGAATCAAAGGAATAAATATACTCGAAGAGCGCAGTCGAAGGTAACAAGGTGATATACCATGAGGGCATCACCTGCACTTCACTTGCGCGCAGAAGAGAATTCGATGACCTCGTCCGCAAGCTGAATGGGTGCGACGAGCGCAATTTTGATCAATTCCAGCTCTTTCATTGTACGTGTCGGTAACGCAAACGAAGTCGGATGGCTGTTCATTCAATTACAGCGCAGCACCGAGAAGGAGGGCAACGGATCCGGCGACAAGCGCGACAGGCATATTGACATCAGCAACACTTCCCGCTCCGGAATGATTCACGACGGCAGATGCGGACGGGGTGCTGGACGCCGGAGTCGAAGTGGCAGCAGCACTGCTGCTAATCCAGCTGCTAGAAGGAGTAGCAGAGCTCGAGGGGATGACATAGGAGCTGACGCTTGCGGAGGCTCCTGGAGTTTCCGAATTCACGCGAACCAGCGTCTTGGTGACGGTGTTGGTGTAGGTCGAAGTGACGGTATCTGCGGCGACAAGCTGGGTCGCAGCCAGGCAGAGCACGGACGAGACGATGGCGCTGATCTTCATATTGACGGTATGGGTCGCCAGGTTTATAAACACTTAGGAGATTGATGTTGAGCACGCGACAGCGCTATATTCGTATGAATCAATCGAGCTATCCTTATCCGATGTCGAGGATTGGGAACGCAATGCGCAAGAGAGCAAGGTATGTAGCCGTGAGATTGGAACCGGCACGGTAAATTGCGATAGTTGCGCAAGGTTGACCAAGGTTGAATGACTGGGATGGAGGAGTGACTGAGAATTCAAGACTCGGAACGCGAAAGAGTGAGCGCCGGGGTCAAGAAGCAAAGGAGGTTATTGTAAGGAACGTGGGGAGCACTGCTCAAGGGCCAGGAAGGAGTGTAAGTGGGTTAATATTCCCCAGACAACGAACGTGTGAAGGAGGTTTTATGAAGGAGAAATTCCAAACCAGACAGGGGCGGCGCTTTGTTATTTAACAACATCAGTGTATTGTGCAGCTTGGCCTGGGGCGCAAATTCTCAGCCAATCGCAAGGGGTCCGTCCATCCATCAATTTGCACTAATATAAGATTTTTATTTTGTTTGTTTTCCATTGGACTGACTTGTCCTAACTCCTAAGGTATGCTAGCTTGGTTGGGGACTTGGTTCGCCATCACTGCTAGTACTACGTAGTTCGCTAACAAGAGCAGTCCAAGGGTCCAGACGCAGGATGAAACCCGTGTCCTTAGGCTTGTGGAGCGAATTATGAGGATCAAGTTGTAGCCGCCTGACTAGTTCGAACACCGTGGAGGTTCCTGAAGAGGGAAGACCTCGTCACCAGAGCGGATCATTTTGTGATGTGTGTGGCCGATGATGGATGGTCAGAACGGTTCGACTGTGCATGCGACTTCAAAAACTTAAAACTCGCCCCAGGGACGCCTTGGGGTGATTCGCTGCAGGGGCTCTTAGGAGCCCCGAAAAAACGAGATTAGTACATCTCTAGTGCCTCCTCTGGAAATTGGCGGCATAGTCACTTCGTCAGATACGATCGAAGTTACTGGACCATTAATTAAATGGACCCTCACCAGAGCCTAGTGCTCTTTTGCCTCCTTGAGCTGCAGTTCTGGCCGGGGAAGAGCAGCGAAATTATCATAAGAAGCCACAAAAAGATGTTTTGATTATTTGAGCATCACTTCTAAGGGACCTTTGTCCTTCATTCAACTCCTGCAGAAATGGTGGTTCCAAATTCTTTAACATCATTCTGGCGCCTGCGCTCACCACCATTGTCTCTGGGCTGTTTCACGCAGGTCTGAGAGAGGCATGTTGATTGTCGCACCTTTGGAGTTCGAACCCTCAGGTACCTAAACTTACCCCTTGGCGCAGCAGTCGTCATCCGAATTGGTTGATGAATCAGAGATCGGAGGATTTCGCACGAAAGCTTCTCGTAATAATACGACTCTCTCAACTCTCGTCCCTGGGGCGAATCGCGCCAGCAAATAGCGAAATTACATGCGCTGGCTAAACTCCAATAGTTCCCTGATGGCAAATTGCAAAGTAAAAATTCTCGGCTAGTCACGCCGTTCACGAAGGGACTAACCAACTCAGTGGGATACAAGCGAAATGGCCATGCCACAGATGCCACCACCAAGTCCGACTGTCCAAGTCTTAGTCCATCCACCTGTTCGGCTGTTCCTGAAAATCCAGTCAAGACCCACGGACATGTGGGCCCCCTGCACGCAATTGTGCCTAAGGCTGAATTGGTTTCCGCAGGTCTGAGGTCACGAGGAGCAGTATCATCATTGAGAAACGAGCTGGCGCAGCAGCAGTAATACATTATTACCTTAATGGTCAAGGTTCAATTGAGTGTACACAACTCTTTCAAAGAGTACTCGAGAGAATATCTCCCATAGATCATCTCCCTCACTGCCTCGGCTCTACGGTGTAGACTACTGGTTTCTGTCGCTCCTATGAGAATGGCCCCATATTTCATTCTGCCCTACTGAAATCTAGGCGTCCAGATCAACATGATCGTCAAGGATCACCAAGCAACAGCTCGAACTTCTCTTCCCGCTCTGGTGTATGTACCGAAGTATGATCATCGTTTGTCGAAGCAAGGGCACGATGATCGGTATTCCACGAAGTAAAAAGGTGGCCATGCATATATCTCTGCATTATCACTTTATATTACCTGTCCAAACTCAGTGTCACCGCCAGCTCACTACATCGTCAGGCACAATTGTGATTAGGTCAAAGCGCATTATTGCAGTCGCTCGGTCACGTCTTTCTTGAACAAAGGCAGTAGCATCCGTTGGATCAACCTACAACCGTTGGATTGGAATAGAGTATTGAAAGCGGGACACTGATTAATGATCATGCATCTCCTCAGAAGCGGGATCATTTCGAGCTCAAAAGACGCCTAGTTGCCATGTTACACGCGGTCGTCCGCTTCCTGGAACCTCGGAGATATTCAAGCCTCGACATGCTAGCATTCGATCTGGCCAGTTGTTCAATGCAGCTGCTGAGCTGCTGAGTGACTTTTCAGTTATTCATTGTTCAATTATTCATTGTTCAAATGTAGTCTTAGGATTAAAACAACCCACGGTTTTTGGACTTAATGATTGCGTGTATACCATGGCTCTGTCCATACGAATCACGAATGCTTTCGCGTTCATATCAATGTTATGCGACAAATTGATTTGACATCTCATCAATCTCTCATTAAATGATATTCCTTGGTTCAACGCCAGAAAAAAGTGCATGGCTGGAGGCACCTTCCATCCGACCCAATGTCCAATGCCTCCACTTTATGTACATGATGTAGGGAGAGTCCCTCCGCTGCGCTGACATTTTGCAACCATCCAGAAGCAAATAGCCATACTGCGTGTCTTGCTCCCTGCAGTACAAGGTTCCCATCCCGGTAGATATTATTGTACAAAGTCGTCCCCATGGGTCGTGACATATCCCCTTCATCAATTCCTGCGGCAGAAGCAGTATTGTTCGCCTACTGACGCATGGGCCGTAGAGGAGACTGACGAGGAAGCATCATCGGGGGTCCCCGAGCACGCAACCAAGCGTCGTTGTGAGGTCCTTCGGTACGGATAACGCTACCAATCGACATGAAAAGACTGTTGGGAAGCAAGTATCACATTAGCACGAGAACCTCGGCCGGAACAATTTTAAACTCCTCTGTCCATAGAACAGACGGCTAACTCAAATGTATCATGCTGGCTGAAAAGAAAGCTTACCCGAAAGTTGCACCCGAACCAAGCATGTATTTTCCCAGAGTGCGCATCACTCCGTTAGGCCCAGCGCCATACTGGAAGATAGTGACGGTTCCTTAGACCACGTAAGCGATATATTCGCGTAAATCAGTACTTCAATGGCACGAACCGATGATAAATCCCATGATACCGCCAACGGCTAGAAAAGAAGCTTTGATTAGCGACGCTTCCATGCGAAAGGACGGTACGTTTTCGCAGACTCACTCGATCCCATCAGAGCACCCATCTTCACTGTCACAGAGTTAGCCCACCATCAACAGATGTATATGGACATCGTCAAATGTCCAAGCGGCCTCCAAACTCACTCTTGTCAAAGGTAGAGGGGCCGTGGCCTTGAGGCGGAGCTGCAACGACAGGCATTTTCGGGAAACAAGGGAGGAGATATATGTGTTACTGAATGCACCAAACGCTTAAAGCAAATATCGAAGGTAGGATGCCAGCGTCTCAATGCTGTTTGTGCAGGCCTTTGATGCTAAGCAAGCTTGTTCTTGAGCAGCCAAAGCTCCGCAAGGTCACTCCACCTACAAGCCGCGGGCCTATTCCGTCAGATGCACGTGACCCGAAGAACACCCAATGCACTGTGAAGCGGCTTCTTGTTCCATGATGGCACGTGCAGAGTCACGTGGTAGGGGCCTCAGGCGTCCAAGGCCTAAACTGACCTCCTCTCCCGCTGTGGTGTTTGTGCATCCCATGATAATTTGTCCTGGAACTTTCAGCCTTTGTGCGTCAAGATCTTTGCTGCTTCAACGGTCTAGAAGCCTGTATAAGGTGGCAGTCCCGTCTCGTGCCTCCTTCCTTCCCCTTGGACGGCGTTCTTTCATCAACCGGTCGCTTCCCCGGCTCGGACCAAGAATCACACAGCTCCCTTGACTTGACGCACCCAGTGTCTCATTTCCATACTTTATCTCAACTTTGCTCTCCAGATCTCAGTTTCAAAGGTAGGTTTGACATTTCGTCTCTTGAACGCAGGGCTCACCGACTGTACATCTGCTTTCCTGTTTTGGTGGAAATGACAGGAGTTCGGCTGTGTTGGCATCGAAACAATGCTAACGTGACCTCCTCAGAGCTGGTAGGGATCAAAGCCCGGGCATCGCAATACTTCAGCATCAATTAGTCTTCATCATCAACACTAGCAAACGAGCTTGGTATTGGATAAATCATTGATACTGCGACCATTTATCGATTCGCTCCTCGACTGCGCGCCCATGCGATAGGCGGCGTTGGCACATTGAGTTTCTGATATTGTCCATCGCGCCAGCCCGTTTCTCCATGACTGCTGTTGCATCACCGCCTAGTGTGCAAGAGGGTCCTCGCTTGGGATGGTACGACTCTGGTAAAGGAGGACAAGGAGCTCTGACTTCAATGAACGACGAAGTTTCACGGATGTTCATGCCACGGAAGACGATTCAGAGATCCAATTCCTCGTCGTCTCTAGGATCAAACTCCTCCACCGCCACCGTAGTCGCGGGTCCACAAAACGCTCATGCAGTACAAAGCAACAACGCTGAATCTGGTACCTGGTCTTCGAAGAAAAAGTCCTCCAGGAGCATTTGGCCAAGTACCAAGTCTGAACCGGCAACTGGAGTGAGTACCACACGTACGCAGGTGATGCCTGCATTCTCCTCTGGGCCCGGGGCTGCTTCGGCCATGTCCGCTCTCCATCAGCCTTCGTCTATTGTTCCCTCGCAGCACATGCTCCAGTCTTCTCAGCAGAATGGCGTCCGCGCTGGCAGCGCGCCATCGGGGGAGCCGCCGGCTATATTGACGCTTCTGCCAATCAACGGCA